ATATTTTATGGCGAGGTGTAGGCAGCATGACCTTAACTAAGGCGTCACAGACTGCCCCTGTTTGATTTGGTCGTAAAATAAATTACAATTCATCTGGCTCACTGGTTACACCTGTTATGTGTTCTTTGCGCTTATTCAGTGTAGTTTTATAACGGACAATGTGATTGATACAATATCACGTCCGTACCAGACCGCCAAAGTTTACTAGCGGCAGAGCTTCGTTTTGAGATTTCCGTTTGTCAGAGCACGCTGTACGACAGAGCACGCTGCACGACGTGTTTGCAAGGATTAGAAGGGGCGTAGTGTTGCAATATACAAGTGGTTAGATATAATATAGATATAGATAGATAGATTAATTATAGATATTAATATATTTATGTATCCAGTTGAATGAATTTGTCTCAAAATTCTGGACTGGTCATTGTACTAAGTTGCGCAATAGGACGGAACCCAGTCAGCAGGAAACGAGACTGTTGTGTGTAATCAATGTTTTGACTTGACGAGCACACACGTGCACACTCGGGCATACACGAACATGCTACGTAAGTAATCTTCAGCGACGTTGTGCCTAACTCCAGCTGAAGGAGGAGGAAAGGCAACTACGACAACTGGAAGAATACGAATAGTGTTTTACTTCAGACATGAAAAAATGCTAATAAGTACTTGTTTTGCCTTGGACCTTAACTGGAATACGATCAGCTATTTCCGACAGACTATAACTGAATCATTACAGGAGTGTTATATACACAAAGAACTTAGTTAAGCACCCCGGGCCCTGACATATCTCATGCTTGAATGAGCCCTGATTTTATCCCTTTTGAGCATATCTGGGACATGATTGGTCGTCGTTTGCAACAAAGGCTCCTCCTGTACAGAACCTGGCCCAATTGGAAGCTGCTTTACACGAGGAATGGCGTAGAGGATCAGGAGGCTTGCAGGGGGCATGAGGAGGAGGGTGCTGACTGTCATACAGTAACATGGAGGTTACACTCGGTATTGACCTTGAATCGTGTAAGACACGCAAAATGACATTTTGAATGTTCACATTCACCAATAAATTCAACATTAAACATTCCAGGGTCATACTTGTACAGACATGGTTTGGATGAAAATCAGCGTGTTTTTTTTTTTAAATAAGCAATTATTATCATAAAATCAACATGGATTCCAATCATTTTGTCGTTTTGTATGAGTCAAAGGATCATACGGGTCAGAAAGACTCATGTTTTTCCATTGTGGTCACCACGAGAAGTGTTATGTACGTATGTTGAAAACCTACCATTGCAAAAATACAGGGGGTGCTTAATTAAGTTATTGTGTATATATTTGACATGACATCGGACTAGTGGAAATATAGTCCATTTGATCATTTTGTGTGAATCTTTTGATAAGATATGACGGAAAAAAATATGTATCGTGATAATATTCTCTACAGTCCGTTTGATTTCATTTGAGACGGATGAATTGCTCACTAACACAAAATCTAATAAATGCAACAAAACCAAATTTTGCACAGTCACATGAAATCGACAGACCAACTCTGATGATTTGTGTCATAATTTTGGACAACCGAATAAAAAAGTTATTTAACAAACGATCATTATTTTGCTGTCACTTTTCGCTATCTTTCACGAGCAGGGACCACTTTCTGTTAGAACAGCCAGGTGTGCGAGTTGCACGTATGATATTGAAATTTCACTACAGATGCTTGTTGATTACCTGGCTGTCCTACCAGCAAGTGGTCCCCCATCGTAAAAAGTAGCGCTAAGTGACAACAAAATAATGATCGTTTGTTAAACAACTTCTTTATTCGGTTGTCCAGAATTATGACACAAATCATTACAGTTGGTCTGTCGATTTCATGTGACTGTGCAAAATTTGGTTTTGTTTCATTTATTAGATTTTATGTTAGTGAGATCAAACGGACTATAGTCAGGAAACGCGATGTGACGTCTACTAGTGGATCAGTTGTCGAACACTGGAAATGAATACGCGACCTTACATCGAAACCTTGTATTTAGAGAAAGTTCTTATATCGTATTAAAAACCACATCAGTAGAAATAATACACCCAGAACAGACACCTAATCACCCAAGTCAACGATCGTTGATTTTATACAAAGATACACCCCCTTATATCATCTGACATGTTTGCACAATACCCATCCAACTGGAATTCTATTTGTTTACAAACCCCAATGAGCCAAAGGGTTAAACAATAAGCATGGCAATATGACACACGTGTGTGCAGGTACAGGGTTATACACAGCTGTTGTAGACAGACGCTCCAACACTAGGTAATCAGTCATCAGATGTTACAGACAATTACCATGACTACTTTCTTTAGCATTATGTAGTAGCTTCGAGCGCTACATCCTTAACACACTGTACAATGGCAATGCTAATTTGTACCCAGTGTAACGAGATGTGGAGAGAGAGAGAGGACTAGAAAGAGTGAATGAGTGAGTGAGTTTAGTTTAACGCCCCACTCAGCAATATTCCAGCTATATGGGGGCGGTCTGTAAATAATCGAGTCTGGACCACACAGTCCAGTGATCAACAGCATGAGCATCGATCTGCGCAATTGGGAACCGATGACATGTGTCAACCAAATCAGCGAGCCTGACCACCCTATCCCGTTAGTGGCCTCTTACGACAAGCATGGGTTACTGAAGGTTCATTCGAACCCAGACCTTCACGGGTGGAGTAGAATGATACAGATACAGAGAGAGATCAATCTATATCACAAACAAACAATCATGCGAAATATGTAAAAGTAGGGTTAGTCATAATGTGGACCATTTAGCAGGAATTACAGAAACATTCTTGTGTAAATCTTGTAAAATTGTGTAGAAACTTTAAAACGTTTGTTTCGTAACAACACTAGGCCCTTGTCCTGTATACACACATACGTGCAACATTGACTTAAATGGTTAACGTTTTCTCAAGAAACATGAACAACATTCTTCCATCAATGACACGTTCTCAACTTCTCATTCCGATTAGCACAAACTCATCCAACAAGTGTATACTACTACATAAACAATACGCATTCAAAGTAATTGCCTGATACAAGAAACAGATCAGTTAAGTGACATATAAGCTGATGCCCACAGGTCTTTGTGTAATAGTAGCGATCACAGAGGGCTAATTTTAATGAGACTCACTTAAGCGCAGAGGTTTATAAAGACAGCTTGAAGAGTGAATGAAATCATTGTATGATTTACAGGAAATGTGCGGCATTGTTAAGTCAACAATAGCCACCACCACAGGTATAGTGAACAGAAGGAAACATCCACATCAAGATCATTGATAACTGATCAGTAAAGAGAATTTTCACACGATAACAAAAACTCCATTTTGAATCTCGAGTAGTAATAAGTCGTATTTGAGCATTGATGAACACCAAGTCAGTTGAAACTGAAATATACCACCATAAATAGAGACACGCAGTCGTTTCTAGAACACCTGGTGTCTTTAAATCTCCCATTGCATTATATTGGTGTTGACTGGCATCAGATTCAGTTACATTTCACACTTGACTAAAATTCACAGCTGAATACATGCAATATATAACTTAGGTTACCACGTGGTGATTTGAGTCATCGTTAAGCACAGTTTAACATCGCCAACAAAGACATGTACGACTGCATATGTCCAAAGTTTGACAAATTGTGTACTAGAATCAATACTATAGATCTGCATGTAGGTGAGACGGAGCTCAAGCTGACAGATCGCCTCTTGGGGGACTCCGTCTAGACCTGCTCAGCAGTTGAGACATTTCAAACGACTTGGCTGCCATGAGATTAATACATGTTGCAAACAGGTCATCATCTGATCTGCTCAGTAGCCTAGGGTGCATAACTCTAATCGTTTCATATAATAACCAGTACTAACTTCATGTATGCATAAAACGTAGTGTGGTGACACCTGTACGTTGCGTTACAAATCAAGATGGTTTGACTGTGTACAATATACATGTAAATGTACTGAAATCAACCTAAAATTACACAAAATCATCTATACCTGAAAAAACAAATATACATATTTATGGATATATATTTGAGTAAAACATAAAGAGATATTCTCATTGTCACAATCAGTAATGATGTGTGTGTGAACACATTATTCCGGGTAATGAAAGACGTCATTACACAGTGCAATTGGATCTCGTTATCACCAAGCCCAACAAACGTGCTGTAGAGTATAACCACAGTGAATGTAGGATTAGTAACACAAGAAGGCAATTAACACTTGATAAAGGACAATAGACGGAGTGTCTCTCGCATAAATAACACATATTAACCAACAAATAGTCGTAGCATGAATAGCACTAATTACAATGAACAATTATATCAACTTTGGTATTTATGTCACTTTAATGACCAACACAAGTATGTTCACATCACGAGGCGGGAGTCATCCTTATGTTAACGTCGTGTACACAGTATGAATGCCGTAACAACTATTGGTACTGTGGGTATTTCGAGAACGAATCCGGTCAGGTCATTTACACACACGCTGTCAGTATGCAAGGCTGAATGATTGTTGTGTAGTACTGGTAACGCACATCATCCATTCCTGTCAGCAATTTCCGAAGAAACGTGACGGCTGGTTATATCGGTGTTTCACATTTTGAATTTCCTTGAACACTTTTCCATTGAAATTCTTTGTGTGTGTCTTTGGTCCACTTGAGAATTGTTTTATCCATTTCCGACAATATCTGCTTTTGTCCATACAGTGTTCCCATAACGTTCAGTCGATTTCCTGTTGTCTCAAATACACTGACGCCGTACTGAACCAACATGTCCATCCTCAACTCTTTCAACATTTTTTTTAATCCCTCACTCAGATATCCCCGAATTCATTGTACATGTGAGTGGGTGAGTATGGTTTTACGCCACTTTTAGCAATATTTCACGACGGAGGTCACTAGAAATGGACTCCACACATTGTACCCATGTGGGGAATCGAACCCGGGTCCTCATCGTGACGAGCAAATGCTTTAACCACTAGGTTACCCCACCGCCCCATTGTACATGCAATGTGTGTTCCAAAGGGTGACCTTTCTTCGACCACACATACACACTGAGGGTCTAAACAATTCGGTTAGCACATTAAGTTTGACAGAAGTCCAAAGAAGAAGACCCAACTCTGTTTGTTATGCATCCGATATTACAGACATCTTCTTATATAACAACATAGGCAGGTGACGTCGTGGCATTACTATAACTAACACTGCTATTAATCCATTCCGTAATTTACTTATACAATCAACACATACGTAAATACTCAGAAAACTTCTCATGAAGCAGGAATAAACCCTAACCACGTCAGATACGACGATGGCGATACCCGTCTGTTATGACCGTCTCTAATAAATGGACGTATCGTTGCATTATGTATGACGTTGGGGTTTATTCCAGGTTCATAACCGTTTATATGGAGAACATACTCATATACAAAAGAAACGCACACCCAGTCGTTTACTCTTGATAGGGGTTCAACTCTCACTCTTGCTTGACAACGGTATAAGAATCTATACCCAAACGTTGCATCATATATAACAATGACGTTGTCATCCATAAAGTATCTTACTTTTTAGGGGTTCTCAAGTCCATGGTATGGACGTCGTTGCCTTCAATACAACTACATGGGTATGTGAAAATGCCATTAGTGTATTTGTTTTCTTGTCCCTGGCATTTGTCTTAAGCGTTTACAAATTCATATGAGCGGAGTGCAAGGACCGGTCTTTCACTCAGTGAGATTAGTATTGGCTCGCAACGTAATGCATTGCAATATATCGACCCATCATGAGCTTCTCCCCTCTGAACTTCATTGGGTAAATTTATGTTTCCCTCAAGTACGTTCCCGTCGCGAATGGTAGGAACATGAACTTGTCTTTGTTTAATAGTATTAGGCTGCTGATATGACAGCCAACAACGCTATTTATGGTGCCAGTGAAACGTATTGAATCGTTTCTTTCAAAAAAGTATTTTTTAAGACAATAAAAGCAACCATTACCAGAGTGATCATATGCTTTAGTTGTTCATGCATAAATTATTTTTAGAAATGACGAATTCTAGAATTTGACTTAATGAACATATTTCTAATGTGGTTGAAATTAGCGAAGTAATACTCAAGTTCTGTAGTTCGGAGACTCAAGATACATTTGATGCATCTTTATGCACTTACGTGATGCTTTAATTGTGACATGTATGTAGCGGGGCATGCTTTATTTCTAGCGTCAATGGGTTCTGTTGTATACATTGTAAATGTTTACTCCCATTGTCTCATATCTGAGAAATCGTGAAGGTTGACAACAGAGACATGTCGGTCACGACGCATTAGGCAACAACAACATGAGTTTGGCCATCAGAGCTTGTAGAAGCCCTTCGTCTTCTCCCACACAATATCACCTTAAATGCGTTGTTGAAATGGTGATTCTGCCAAGCGTAGATGATGCAATTCATTCCGGAGTTAAGGAAACCCAGAATCACGGTGAAAAATACAAGGGTCTTGGGAACATCCGCGAAGTATCCTACAAACACGAGCGTGAAATTTGGGAACCAACACGCTACAAATACACCGAAAACTAACAAAAACACTTTCACAGACTTCCAGTCGCTGCGACTAGTGGTGACAGGATTCGAGGAACCGGACAACTGTGACGCTCGTCGAGCCAAAGCTTCTCTTTGATGGGCCAGAGCCGTCTTGACGATATACCCATAGAAGAGTGCAGTGAGAAACAGGCAGAGGAAGAATCCCGGGATAAGACCATACAATCGAAACACTCTTGTCAACACCTCGAAAGATGTACAGTCGTTGTTCCACTTATATTCCCAAACCGGTACCATTCCAACTAGAATGGACGCTATCCAAGTGCCAGCTATAACAATTCCCGCCTTCCTGTGTGACGTAATAGTCCTGTAATGGAGGGGGTACTTGATGAATAGGAAACGATCAAACGCAATGACAACCATGCAAGCAATCGACTCGGCCACGAACAGATGAAACAATGCATACCGGCAGAGACACAGATACTTGTTTGAGTTCAGCTTCTCTTGGAGATTGGGAAAGAAAGAAACAGCGTAATATGGTATGATGGCGCCGGTTAGAAAGTCCGCCACAGCTAAGGAAATCACATACATGTTGGGCACTGTTCGCAATGCAGGTGTTCGTACAACAGCCATAATTGTCAACAAATTTCCTCCTAGAATAAACACCAGCACGGCAATGAAAAGAACAATCAACATAATCTGCTGAGTCAGGGATATGTCGCCATCAATCGAGGTTGGTTCGGTTCCATTGTTCACCGCCGTCGTGTTTGGCACCATCACCATTGCTGCGGATTCCATTGCTGAGGAGACTCCTCGAAAACCTTGACGTATCCAATCAGTGTATTACTAGAACTCTGTTGTCCGACGTCTAAGATCAGTTCATCCAAAATAGCGTTGCCTATTGAAGGAGGCCAATGAGTGCTTATGATTAGAATAATCCTAAGCTGTAATAAGGTGTGATAGACAGTTCTCGCCCTGCTGCATGTGTACTGAAAGAGGCACCTGAAATCAGACGGGAAGGTATGAGTTACCGCTGCAGTATTAGTCTACATCAATCCACAGCTGCTTGCATAACAAAGGTTTAGCATACACACGTCCCCACTGAAACCATACTGTATATACAAGGCGGTACTCTAATTGCCTTTTGTTGGTATGTGTCACTTAATGAATTGAAACGAAACAAGGATGAAGGATATTCGATACGTGAATTAGCCAATGTTAAATATACTAAGGCCAAATGTTATGATAGTTGTAGTTGTATGAGCTTTGACTGGCATTAAGTAGTTAGTAATTACATGTATGGTTGATCAGTGTACTTAGTGTCTACAATTAGCGATGTTTCTATGAGATGGTCACCGTGTTGGAATCTACACTGAGATTATTACGAAATATCTCGTAATAACGAAGCTTATTATTCATGCTATTAGTTGTGTATGAACCAATATTCCTTTTCATTTATTATATCATTAATATAATCTCCATAGCTGGCATCGTCAACACACGTTTCATTGTTAACACGTTCATTAAATCATATTTAATCAGCACTGAAAATAATATTACAGCGGTAGAGATAAAAATTATTGCCATAATTTATCAAATATAAGTGTTGTAACGAATATGTTTCTAATGACAGTGTTACGTTATATATGTAAGTCATATGGCATCTACCAATACTGGCTTCGATACAGACCTTGTTTATTCCAATAATGTCTGGATGAACACAATGTCCACTCAAATTAACACGAATCACTCAAGGAGCGGGAGGCAACACACTTCTCTGGATTTGTGTCAAGGCTTTTTTCAACAAGTGCTGTGATTCCAGTAGCCTGCTAATAGATAAACCCCCTGTCCCACATGTAACGCTGGAATGGCTGAGCTCCCGTGGTGCTTTCAACAGGTTCCTCCTTCTCTGAATGGACTATCCAAGAATGGGCGCTAACAATCCCATAGTGTGACTTGAAGACGTTAATCTTCATCCGTTTACAGATTGTTGATACTTGGCTTAATACCTTCAACAATAATCAACAGCAAACTGTCTGTAGACGAACCACTCACGATTATATCCACACACATACATCCGACTTAGAATGCAACTGCTGGAAACAGTTTACAAACGTCGCTCTCGTGAACTCCACAATCCCCGGCGTATTTATGTCACCGTGGTATCCGGATTAGTATGTCACGTGACCAAGATACCACATAATGAGTCTTTGGGGTTGGTGTATTTCATAATATACAGCGAGCAGCAGCAATGCGTTGTCTGCTACTGGAACTGACTCCGTCAGGGGGAGAGACGAGCATTCAGTGGAGCTATGTCTGATAGCTAATTTTAGATGGGGAGGGATGCGGAAAAGCGATGGACTGCTCTCCCCCTGTGGGGGGTGAAACACTCTGCGTTCTTAGAACCTCGGGTCTAATACGCCTATGGACATTCATCCTGTGAACATGATATGGGCTTATTCTCGTTCTTTTTTTTAGGTAAATGCGTTTTTGTTGTGCATTTATCGGGAGAAATGTACTTAGACGTTGTGTGGCGATCCAGTTTTCTTCCCGGATCTAATTTTGTGTACGGTATAAGTGTCCCGGAGAGAAGATGATGGCGATAAGACCATATTCCCTTACGTCTTGAGGGATATTCTTGATAACTGTGCAGCCTACCAGCTGATATATAAGATGAATGGTTCGGCAGTGATACATCCTTCACTCGATCCTCATACACTATTGGCCACGCTATATTGTGTCAGAACAACCTGGTTTCGGTTATATTTTTCATACTACTCCGTCTCACAGTCCGTGAACCACAATATGTTCCATACCGCTCGGCCCTTTCTGCAAAGCCTTTAAAGAAGCACACCAGATTTTCATACGAATCTCCCACTGAGGCTACTTTTCAGCTGAAAGGGATTTAGTTGGTTCCATCAAATTTATATATACGCTTCAAAAAAGGTTGGGGAACCTAAACTTTAACTTTGGATAGGAAGTATAAGCGTTAACAAACGTTTATGAAAGCAGCACCATTTCTCTTTATCACCACCCCTAAGCACAACGTATGGCATGCACGTGCACAACGCAGTAACCCCATACATGTCCATGGGGTGTCATTCCTGAGTTTTGACGGTTTACAAGACGGTCGATATATCACTGTAGACCATTAATTTTGACAATCATTTTGCATCACACAGTTGTTAGGGTTTGTTTCCAGGCGGTTTTTGTTGTTGTTTGTTTTGTTTTGTTTTTAAAATGAAAATCGTATACATGCCAATTTCACGTCATACACCAACCATCTTTCAAGAACGATTACTGTGCAAACAACTATGGTCATAAGGAAGTGCAAGTGGTGATGCACTCTCAAAACATTCATTATTATCATATTAATATTGACTGATTCCGATATATCTCCCAATTGTTTCAATTGTAAAATATAAATGAAGTTCCCCAACATTTTAAGGGTATATATTCAGAGACTAAGTGTCAATCTTGTTATATTTGTTCTTCATTAGAGATCCATTGTCACAGTGATGGTTTTCAAGGTAAACATACGTGAAAACATCCTTTTCACCACCATAATAGTACCTTCAGCGAGAAAAACATTTTCAATAATCATAAAAATTCTATGCTAAAGGTGAGGCCTATTGTATATATACAGAGAGCATTTGTTTGGGAATTACTGATTGCATCCGTGAGCAGGTGTTTATGAATATCAGGAAAACTATAATGAACAGCTGTTAGCGAAAAGGCGAGTGTATCCTGCCCCGCCAGTGGCGCCCATCACTTCAAAGGCACGTGGTCACGTGAACAAACACGGGAAAATAAGTCAAAACATTTTACAGTATAGTCGTACACATTCAAGTAAGGTTATTGAATGTGAATGTTTGTATTGTATTTGTGTCTTTTCGTTTCTTAATCAAACAATTAATGATATGTTTCATTCTAAACTGCATAGTATGTACTTGTGAACGTGTACTATGTGAGGTGAGGTGAAATGGGGTTTAACGTCGTACTTAAGACTATTTCGCTCATATGAGTCGCGCATGCGTGTGTATGTGTGGCTGCTTGTACTAGCCCAGACTTAAGTTGGTTTTATAGTGCTAGCTCACTGAGACACCATGCCGCAGTGAAGCATGAATACCCCACTCAGACACCTTATACTGACTCAATGCCAACCAGTTCTTGTTGTACCCATTAATGCCGAGCGGCAGGCATGGACGATACCATCTTTTGGTATGACGCGGCCGGGGATTGAATCCGAGACCTTCCACTCTCCGGGCGGACGCTCTAGTCACTACACCACGGAGCCGTCGCTCGTGTACTATGCATTTTGTGAACAGTTCTATTATAGACTCAGTGTTGAATGATCTCTTCTATATATTATTTGTACTTAGTACTTATTCATATGCACTATATTTGACTTTTTTGGTTTTTAGCTCGAAGCATTCGGATAACAGGTATACTTTATGAAAGTACACATCATAATCACAATACACCTTACCCGGCAGATCCGGGTTATAATTGGTCTTCAGCAACCGATACTTGTCGTTAAAGGTGACTAACGGGATCGTATGGTCAGCCAAGCTGACTTAGTTGACACATGTCTTGGTATCTGCGTAGATACTTGTGGTCACTGGATTGTCTGGTCCAGACTGGATTATTTACAGATCGCCAACCCTACAGATGGAGTTTGCTGGGTGCGGCGTTAAACAACACACAAAGTTATACAGTAAGCGTTGATTCATTCCCCAAGTGAGTTACCAATGAATGTAAAGCCGCTTTGAATAGTATAGCAATAATATAGCTTGTACACCAAGGCTGTATGTGGGAGGAAAGCTTAACGTGATACCGGCGCTTGTATATATTCCGGCAACATCTGGCCATACTTTCTTTGCTAACGGGAAATGCTTACGTAAGAATGACGCCATGGGTGAACTAAATGCGCTGATAGTTCTTGTAGATGTCTGCTTAATCTTTGATTCTAACTTATAACTTCCTAAAGAGAATGTCAATATCACCAATTTGACGCTATCCGAAAAAACAATTAAGGATCTCCTTTAAGATATAAGAACTCAAAAAATACAAATAGAATTGATTCAAGGCGACCTTGTCTTCAGGGAGAGATTGCGGTTACAGATTATATTAATGTCAATGGTAACATTTACGTGGTACATGCAAACTTAAAATGCATGCTTACCTTCTCAAAGATAGTCACAACTTCTCAATGAAATAGGTTTAGTAGCGAGATACTGGATTGTATCAGCTGTATTCATCCTGGAAAAAAAAGAAATTTCCTAAAGTATATGACATTCCTGTTGCGCATTTATCGAAGTGGTCCCCTTTTTTTACCCTTTGCAATTTATGGACTCTGTCCCTTAAGCACTCTGTTTGTCCAATGTATTCCTAATGATACCCTAGGCATATTGTACCATAAATAATGGGTGGAGGGGGGTGGGAGTGGAGGAGGAGGAGTAGCCCAGGTAAGAGTGTACATGGAATAGTTATTTGCTGTTTTTTGTCTAATCCTACACATGAATTTTCAATCATATATTCTCTAGTTCCAAATATTGGCATTGTGATACGCTGGATTCTGTAGACTTAGTACATGAGTCGAATTTGGCAAATGTTGATATCTGTTCCAAGTTACGACTCATTGTTACACTGGCCATAATTTGATTCATTTTAACAGCAACAAGGTGCATCCCTTGCAGATATATTTATGTAAATGTCTCTATACACTGTTGAACTTCGCCTCTTTATGTATTCATTTAGTCCATGTGTGCATGCGTGCTTCAAAAGTTCATGATTTTTACTGTGTTACCGAAAACCACAGAACCTGGGTCCCGATCCACGAAGCGTTCGTAACGTTACGAACGTCTATAGTTTATTATAGCCTTACGAATGTCGTAGCACTACGAACGCTTTGTGGATCGGGACCCAGTATAATACCTCACATTTAACTGGATCCGATTGACATCAGGCTGTACTGATAAGCTGATTGCATGTCTTCATGCCCAATTTGTGCTTGTTTTGCTCGAAGCTTGACCTCATTAAGCTTCTACCGATGAGGGTCTGGCTAAATAAAAAATTGTTATGCAAGCGGATATGGTTCCATTAACACAACAGTGCTTCCCAAATTAAACCAGGCGAGGAAATCAACGTATCATCCGAGGCCCATATATCCACCGTTTAACATGTACGTGTCATTTGCCCGGCACTTTTTCGCAGGTCATGAAATGAGATAGCATTTGGGAGACTATAACCAAATATGACAATATGATGTGACACAGGTTTAAATACCCTTGGAATCGTGTATGGCCAGATTTAGATTTATCCGACATTTCTTACCTTCTGTTCAAATCTTCAGTTGGTTGCATTCAATTCTTACCTTTCTGAATGCTCGGTCAAACGTTCACGAATCATTACCAGATTGACAGAAATTGGCATCTGTTTCAATGGTTGGTAATACAAGTGTATTATATTACCATCAATGGCTTTTTGGCATGTATATGCAGCATCTCCGTCAGTGACGTAGACTAAGGCTTAGTCTCTGAATATATATAATTTTGATAGTAACAAACAAGCCCATTTATATTGAAAAGGAGCCCCAGGGAGACCAGAGATCCTGAACCTGAGGAAATCTAGACTTGCTTTATTTAGGGCTTTAGCACTGCTGAGAGGGCTTGGCAGTAGGGAAAGTAATGTGGTTCAGGGACTGTGAGACAGACTATCAGTGACGTATACGTAATGAAGTAATTTGTAACACATGATGCTGAGGTACACACTTTCCCACTTATATTTCACGTTTTCGATGTTGGCTGAGTATTTGTTTTCCAAATGTCTGCTCTGCATTGGAATTACATCAGGTTGTCACAAAGCACAGGCTTACAGAGAGTATAGTACGCCATATACTTATTTAATATTACTAAAATATGGTTAACGTGTGGATGGACGTTTATGCCCAGGGAGGTTATAC